TGCCCCTCTAGCCTGCATGAGAGCTACTGCGTCACTGAATGCCAGATGGACATTGCAGCAGCACAAAGGAACATGGTGCAGTTCAGGGAGTCAGTGACACTCCGCAACTGGTAACAGAGAGGGTGTCTGTATAAACAGTTAAGGTATGGAAGATACGGGATGTAGTCAACAGCTGAGACTACTTAAGGGAAGTTCCTGCTCAGGTATGTGGCTCCAGGGCCGCCGAGAGCGGGTTCGGGCCCCAGTGGAAAAAAAAGCGTTCGGGCCTCCCAGCAAGGGCGGACAGGCGTAACAGAACCGACGAGGGGGGGGGGGAAGAGGGAGTTGGGCCCTCTTCCGGACCGCTGGGCCCCAGTAATTTGTACCGGCTCCCCACCCCACTCCCTCTCATCAGCCCTGTGTGGCTCACAGGAGATTTACCTCCCCTTGTCACGTTATTGATTTGAACTGGGACCCTATAGGACATGGTTGCAACCAAAGTCCTGTAGTGGCACCAAATCTTGTATAAAGGGGGGGTCAAATGAGGTATCTAAGACAAGGTTATGGTTTGCTGGTTATGATTATGCTGTCTATACGTGTGTATCAATTTTGTAGCTGGAGTTATGAATATTGGCTTTATACTGTCTGTATTTCAAACTTATGCCATGCTTCTGGGAAACTTCCCAGACAAGTTGGTGTTAGCTCTGCCTAGCCTGCTTGATGGCCCATTGAGGGCCATCAGCTATACAACTGACCCATTGAGAGAAGGCAAATATGCCTTGCTACTCAGCAAAGTATGCAGGGACTGACCCATGTGACTCCAGACTCCATTTTGCTATAATTTTCCACAGCAAGGACAAAGATGTTCTTACACCTGGAAAAGACTATAAAAGGCTAAGGCCTCACCTCCATCTTGTCTTCAATCCCGCTTCTTACCTCTGGAGGGACTTTGCTACAAACTGAAGCTCTACACAAAGGACTGAATGACCCATCCCAGGTGGGAATGTTCCAGAGACTTGATTTTGAACCTGTAGTTTATTTCATCACTGCTACAAGCCTGAACGAAGAACTTTGCCATTACTGTATGTAATTGATTCCATTTAACAAATTCTAGCTCATCTATATCTTTTTTCTTTTATAAATAAACCTTTAGATTCTAAAGGATTGGCAACAGCGTGATTTGTGGGTAAGATCTGATTTGTATATTGACCTGGGTCTGGGGCTTGATCCTTTGGGATCAGGAGAACCTTTTTTCTTTTAATGGGGTATTGGTTTTCATAACCATTTGTCCCCATAACAAGTGGCACTGGTGGTGATACTGGGAAGCTGGAGTGTCTTAGGGAATTGCTTGTGTGACTTGTGGTTAGCCAGTGAAGTGAGACCAAAGTCCTCTTTGTCTGGCTGGTTTGGTTTGCCTTAGAGGTGGAAAAACCCCAGCCTAGGGCTGTAACTGTCCTGTTTTAAGCGATTTGCCCTGAACTGGCACTCAGTTGGGTCCCGCCAGAACTGCATCATTACCCCCCCCCCCCACACACACACACCCCTTTAGATAGCTCAGGAGCCAGTCATCCAGGCTGCCAATTCACACAGTACATTCCAACTGCAGAAGAGATGGCAAGCTGTTCACCTGCTGCTCTGAAGTCATATATGCAAAGGATGGGTGGCTCCCTTCAGCCCTGAATAGGGAAGCCTTTATCTCAATAGCTAATGACCCTCCTTTTACAGAGCAGCCAGCAGCCCTGGATATCCTTACATACAAAGGCCAGACATGGCATTCTCCAGTTCTCAGTCACAGAAACAATCATATTGGAACAAGTCTGTGATCTGTCCCATCCTCAACAGTGGCCACAGCCTTCACAAACAGGGATAAACCTCTAACACACAAATGATTGTGCAATGCTATATTGCAGAGTAGTTAGGAAATGTTTCTTCCTGACCCCAGCTGGTCACCTCTTTATGCTCTGACACATGAGGATGGATGGCCCTTGGAAGTTTTATTACAAGTGCTGTAACCCCTAATGAACTGGCACTTTCCAGCTGTTAGGCTTTATAGATACCAGATTTGCTATTTGCCTCAACATGTGGCAGCAAGTTTCACATGTTTGATTCAAATGTCATCGAAAGTATTTCTTTTTGCTTAGTTCTAGTGTGGCTGTCTGAATTCTACAGGTCCTTCTGTAAATTGGAATATCCAGTTATTATCTGTGCCTCCTCTTTCCCTAGGAAGGTACAAGACACTGAAGACTGTTTGCCTCTTCCCTCCCCTTCTTTTGCCTTGAATTAGTTTCAATTACCCCCCTTAAGGGCTTTTCTATTTCTGCCATATCTGAGATGTGACTGAACTTGGACACAAAGTGAGGCTGCCCTTGGTTTATAGCATTTCCTATGTTGTTCTAAATCCCTGGCTTGACAACCTAATGTTTTATGGACTGGCTGCCACTGCCCAGTGAGCATTCATCTTTGTAAGCTGCCCGCAGTAAACCCTCATCTTTCTTCTGGGAGATTATAGTGAATTCTGAACCCATCAGTGTGCACAGACAATTCAAGCCACTCTTCCTAGTATACAGTACCTTGCATTACACTTATGCTGCCCAGTTTTAAGTCAGCCATTGTCTTCACAATCCTCCCTACTCTTGAGTATCCTATGCCAAGTATTAATAAGTTCTGCCAGTGCTACCCTACCCAGCCCCTCTTCCACAGTGTATTGACCATCAGCCCTAGCACAAGTGCCTGGGTGCCTCCACCATTAACTTCTTACCATGCTGAGACATGCCTACCCTTTGCTGCTTCTTAATCCCATCATTTGGGAGATATTTACAAGTTACCTGAAGAGCTGGAGGTTAGATAATTTGTTGGTCCCATATAATTATACAAAGGTCCCCAAAGGGAAGATGTTTCCTATAACCATCCCTCCAAACATCCATCTTTAATCATCATCTGATGGAGGAGTTCCCACTCCTGACAGCCCTAAATGTGTCCTACCAAGACTACAGATCCCAGCATGCAGTGCTCCAGGGGCAGGCCAGTGCAGGGGTAACATACCATTTAGATGTGAACCTGTGATCCTGGTGAGATGCAAATGAAGAACTCTTTAAAGGCTGAGATGGGTCAAGGATCTATGATAAGACACCTTGTACGTTTCTTACCAAAACCAGATCTTTACATATTTTAAAGGAAGAGAAGAATTTGGTAGCTGAGTGAAAGCTGAGAGGGTCCATGCAAAGACTAAGACACAAGCCTATCACCACCTGTCCCACAAAGATACATTTACAGAGCTTTCCAACGCCGCTGCCTTCTGTGGGGCTAATTTGCTCCAGCAGTAGTTTGAATACCCGTTCACCCCCCAAACTTTAAAAAAGGAGGATCTGTAAATAAATCTGAGATTAAAGCGTCACACTTTGACGGACCCCATAGAAGCACAGGAAGGGAACAGGATATAAAATGCCTGCCAAGTCTGAAACGGTTCTGAAGCAGGCCAGAACTTAGGCCATGTCTCTAAAGTACACAGCTGAAGCAGTGCAGTTGTACTGATACAGCTGCGCCACGGTAGTACATCTGGTGAAGACGCTCTATGCCGATGGGAGAGAGCTCTTTTATCAGCATAAAAATCCCATCTCCACGAGTGGCAGAAGCTATGTTGGTGGGAGAAGCTCAACATAGTGCTGTGCACACGTGAGCACTTATGTCAGTGTAACTTATGTCGCTCAGGGGGGTGAATATTCCACCCACCGAGCAACGCAAGTTTTACCGACATAGGCTGTAGCAGTGATATAACTTTAGCGCTCCTCTGTGACACATGCCTCAAGCTCGGTCCCCAATTCAAGCATCTTCACAGCAAGGAGGAGAAGCCAGTGTCAACCTAAGAATTCCACATGAAGTTCAGTCACACTGTGTGACGTCTTAGAATGAAAGGAGGAGGCACCCAGAGGAGAGGAGCAGATGCAAGCAGCTGGATACTGAGCTTTGAAGAGGCCCTGGTAGGACATCTCCTTTGCCATCCTCCAGTTCCAGGTTACGTTGCACCTGCCGGTGCTGAGAGACCAAAGTGGCATGCTAACTGGAATGAGGACAGTCCAGATGAGCTGCATCGTTAAAGCTGTGAAATCTTCACAAGGGAGGAGACTCCAGGCAATTGGGTAGGGCTAGCCCTGTGGAGAAAGCTTTGGCCTTGGAGAAACCTTACATCTCATTCTGTCACATGCACTGGTATGAAAAAGAGAGAATGCCTCAGGCATCTGCCCTGCTGCCTCCACCCCATACTGATAAGAGCAGATCCCCTACTGCCAACCCCAGTTTCACACTAATAACTCAGACTCACAACACTGTGCACTCACACACAGAAGCAGGAATGTTTTAGAGACCTTGTCATACACAGCCCTGATCAGGTCAATAGAGAAGATCAACCAAAGTGAAGTTGGGCTCTGGACCAAACCAGCTGGATTAAGTGGAACTGTTCTTCTAATCCAAAAGACTCCTCCCCCATAGAGGAAGTTACATGTGTGCTATTGATAACAGAAGAGAAAAAGCGATCCCCTTCCACTAAATGGGGACTGTCCCTGAATCTGTATCATGGCTTTCAGGGTGACTAACCAGTGCCTTTCTGGGGAGGGGGAGGGCTCACAGTGATGGGACATCCCAATGTGAACAAGCATCAAAGTACCTCAGGAACACAAATGCCTCATGTTTTTACAGAAGGGCTGGAACTCTTGCTCCAAGACAGACACTTGGTACCAGACCCCTGTATCAGTTTGTCTCTGAGCAGGAATGGAAATGATACTCCAGTCAGTTGTTCCAACCAAAACTAGTATCCTGGGCTTGGGACACCCACAAGAGTGCCACCTGGAAGTGTCTCAGTGCATAACCAAGCCTATTTGCTTCCTTTTCCACAGGTCCATGTCCCGTCAGCGTCCGCACATACAGTGCTTGATTGGCATCCTATAAAGGAGCAAGAATTTGTCACCTTTGCAGCTAGTTTGTCATCAGATACACCAATATGTGCAACACCAGCCCATTACTGGGATTGCAAAGTTGTCACTGAAACACTAGCCTCCTCTCCACAGTTCTTTGCAATACTAGTTCGGCCATGGAAGTTGTAGCATTATAAAATAGTTCAATCTCACCAATCTGTAGGAATCTAGCCACAAGTTTCTGACCTTCAGAGATCTGAGGAGGCATGTGCACACGAGCACTGCATACCAACTCAACCTCACTGCATCACCAGATTCCAGCATCAGAGATGGAAGAGAAGCAGCATTTTTCCCCACAGAGAGAGGCAGCCTGGGGAGATGGTAGTATCCCAAAGTGAGAGTCCTATGTAGAGAGAGGAATTGTCACATATCCCAGGATTGTGAAGCCTTTCTACAGTCCCAGACTTTCACTTGTGCAGAATCCACACGTGCAGCCAATCAGGCTGTGTTCTCAGAAGCTATACAGGGTCAGACCTGTTCAGTACTTTGATGGGAAATGTCCAAGAGAACGCATGGTGTTGCAAGAAGTGACACTGGTGATTCTGTAATGGGCACTCTTGGACCCAAGTCACTACTGTGTTAGTGCCCCAGCACGGTGAGCAGGGACAGAACCCCAGCTGCCAAAATCTCAAGCTCTGTCCCTGAGTACAAGATGTAACTAAAAAGATTCAGTCTCTAATATTACAAAGGCCTGTTGAACTTTGTGCATCTCAAAAACTCCTCTAGTTCACCAACAGAAGTTGGTCCAATAAAGATGTTACCCCACTCACCTTGTCTCTGAAAGCCATGGAAACAAAGTACAAAAGTGAATTTAATCAGACTATACAGGGGCTGCTGTATTTTCAAAATACCATTTGTTTGGGAAATCTGTGGCAACTTCATTTTAAAGTCCTGCAGAATCCAATGGCCTAGCTGTAGGATTTAGGTGTAACCTTGCATGAGTCCTTACTCAGACTGTAACAGACTCATTACAACTCCTAGGGCAAAGTGGATCATTCACAGCCAACATCTGTATGTTGAACTACAATGGATGCTCTCAGCCATTACCTTTAGCAACATCCTTTTTAGTTGGAACAGGCTGGACCATTTCTGGAATTTGTCATATTAGGTACAAGTCTGTGCAGATCCTGTTATGACATCTAACAGAATTAGAGCCCCATTGCCAAGGCAACTAAGCCACCCAAGTACCATTAGTGTATAATTGTGGTACACTCATGCCCCGAAAGACTCCAAGGCAAGGCAAATATATTTTAAAGGGTTGGAATTACTATATTGAGCCAAGAAAACATGTGGCCTGTGGAGCTCACAGTTGCAGGACAGTAGGGTGATTAAAAAAGCTCAGCAAACTTCCAGACAAAAAGAAGGATCAGACATTCACTTGAACAAAGGCAGTATGTGCAGCAATACTAAGCAGGATACCATACAGCTTCTAAGGCCATATGCTGATCACCAAATAGGGTCAGAAAAACCTACCAACTATTTAAGTTCCTGCATGGTTTCCATTGCTAGGTATCTGGATAGCTAACCAGATCGGTTATGCCAAAAAAGTAGTGTACACATCCTCTGTCCTAGTGATAACTAAAAGCCTGAATGAACAGGTGATCCTTGCAGTCTAAAGGCATAGTGTAAGACTAGGGTGAGTGGTGGATCATCAGAAGGAGAAAGTTCAAAAAGCAGGCTTCCTCAAAGAATTTCCTGCCATTCATGGACAGTTGTAGAGCATCCCAGCAGATTTTAACTGCTGTGACAGGACACACAGGAGATCTCTCTAAAATAAAAGAGTCCCAGACTACTTGGTATCCTACAGTTACCTTCCTCTGAAGCATTCAGCATCACTTTTCAGAAGTTGAAAAAGCTTAGATGGACCACTAAGTCAAGATTTCCACTGCACCTTAGACCAAAGCCACTGTGGTATATACAGTAGAACCTCAGAGTTATGAGCACCAGAGCTACGAACTGACCAGTCAACCACACACATCATTTGGAACTGGACATACTCAATCAGGCAGCAGCAGAGACAAAAAATGCAAATACAGTATAGAACTGTATTAAATGTGAACTATTAAAAAAAGGAAGCAGTATTTTTCTTCTGCATAGTAGTTTCAAAGCTGTATTAAGTCAATGTTCAGTTGTAAACTTTTAAAACAACCACCATGTTTTGTTCAGTTACAAACTTTTCAGAGTTACGAACCACCTCCATTCCCAAGGGGTTTATAACTCTGAGGTTCTGGTGTGTTGTGTAGGGTACTCTGCAAGACAGCAGAATACAATAGCATCACTGCACAGCAAGGCAACACTGCCACTTTAGCAGCTCTAGCAAGACCACACCTGGCATATGGTATTCAGTTCTGGGCACCCCATTACAAGATATTGACACAAGTTGGCATTTAGAAAACATCAGGCCAAAACTGGAGGGAATGACATATGGGGAACAAGTGAGATAGCTTGGTAAGAAACAATTAACAAGATTGGCTGGTGGAAGAAACACCGTGATAATCACCTGTGTTAATAGAGAGGCAAACATCAAGAAGGGAGAGCAGTTAGACCCCTCTGTACCACAAGAAGGAAGATTTATTAGGCTGGATAACAATCACACCAGTGTCCCAACAGTCAGAGGTGACAGGCTGATGGGAGGAGCCTCAGCTGGTATCCTTACACCAGATTGCACAAGGCACAGTGAACTGTCTGGAACAAGCCTGCACCGGTAGTAAAATGGGACTTTTCCAGCTCTAGCTTCTGAGATAAGCTGGCATGGCTAAGTGAGATCAGAGCACCTGCCTCCACCGAGGCTAAGTCCTAGTAACTTGGCAGCAGCTGCTGCATTCCAGCAGGAGAAACCTTCCTGGAGCTGCTACAAGTCCACCTCCATTCAGGACAGTCCTTTACCATTACAGTGCCATAGTTGCCTTGAGTTTAACCCCAACCAAGAAACAACAGCTTTTAATTAACCCAGCATGACAAAGTAAAAGCAGCTCTCAGCAGACGCAGCTGTTTGGCCAAGCCTCAGACAGAAGTGTTTGGGGAAATAACCTTCCTAAGGAAGGATCCTCTCTGGCCGGTCAAATTAGCTCAATTTATTAAACGTTAGCGAGCAGTTATTTATATATAGATCTAGCATTGCAATGGCACCGGCTTGCACCGAAAGACAAGCTCCATTAAAGGCAGAACTTTTAAAGTTTTCCTCCAAAACAAGCAACTGAAGAAAGGGCCATAATCGCTAGTGGCTTGTTGCCCCCTCTCTTGCCGTCTCTGACAGCTCAAGCCCCTCCAGGCTGGGATCGCTCGTTCCCATCGGCAGCCTCTAGTGCCCTCTCGGTAAATGGCTGGAGTTTAGCCGGAGGGGCTGCACTCCGTGCAAGGGGAGGGGGGGGAAAAGGTGCCACAGAAGTACCGAAGGGTCACGGGGCACAGTGCCCCCACCTTCTCAGACGGGCGGGCTGTACAAGGGGTTTTCTGATCTGGTCCCTTCGCTTTCTCTGGAAAGTTCATACGGAGTTTCCCACCACTCAGTTTGTGAAAGCCCCGATGCGCTTCGGTCCAATCTCGCCCACTGGGAAAGTCCCCCTCGCTCCGAGTGGCAGGCGCATCTGCAGCTCCAGTGAGTGACACACACACGGGGATTGTGCCAGGGAGTCTCCCAAGCGGGGGGGGGGGAGGCATCCCACCGAGCTGATTTACAACCACAGCTGCTCCTTCCCCGAAATACCCTCGTGTTTGGCCCCGGATTAAGAGAAAACAAACCAGCCCCGCTGCTCGCTACGGGTCTCAATGCCTCCACTTTTGCGGGGGAAAGGGGAGGGAAACGGGGGGACGACGACACGCACAGCCAGTTTCACAGCCCAGCCCACCACTCTCCAACCCCTCCACAGGAAGGGGGCAAACGTTGCTCGGGGGCAGAGACCCCTCCCCGGGGGATCTGGGGTCTCCTGGGGCATCCTGCCCCATTTACATTCGGTTACGGGGCACGGACACCCCACTTCACGACCCTTAAAGATCCAGCGCTCGGGGAAGCTGCTGGGGAGCGTTGAGAAACCCTGGGAAACGCTACAAGCCCCGGGAGCAGTTCCCCCCGCCCCCCGAAAGGCTCGCTCTGATACCCCCCCCCCTTACACAGCTGCAGACCCGTCCCGTCCGCCCTGGACTCTCTCGGTCACTTTCCCGGGAAGTTTCCAAAGCGCGGCCCCTTTCCCAGCTCTCCCGCCGCTCCCTAGCAGCTCTGCCCAGGCCCGGGAGCGCGCGGGGCCTGCCGCAGGGGCGCCGCGCTCTCACCTGCAGCTGGGACCGAGCGACGCGTAACAGGCTCCTTCCCTTGCCCAGATTCAGTCGATGTGGCTCCTGGCTTCCCCGGCTGCTTTCAGTTCTTCGGACCAGGAGGAGTCAGCTGCAACCGCCAACCAACCCCCTGGGACAGGCTGGAGACGCCCCCTCGCCCCTTTAACCCTTCCCCGTCCCAGCCCAGACTGGAGCCGAGCCAACCAACCCAATGGATTCCGGCAACTGCGCGTCGACTGCGAGGCCGCTTTAACCCTTCCCTCCCCCAGCTGCTTTCGGCGCTGATCAGGGCTCCGCACACTCAGTGGTCCCAGCCAGCTCGGTCCAGTCCTTTCCTGCCGTGCCAAGCTGTGCCTTAAAAGGAAGGAATCACTGCCCCCAGACGTTTGATTCCTAGTAAAACGGGCTGCTGGGCAGTGGGTCTGGGCGCCGTTAGCAGGTAGATTTCTGATTTCTGTAGGGGGTCAGCCTGCTGCTCTCTCTTTGTAGCATTGCCAATCCCAAGCATTCAAACCTCCTGGGTCAGGCCCCCAAGATTATGAAACTGGTTTAAAAATCAGGGGGTTGTACTTACATACCTAGGTACATCATTGGGATTGTTTTGATTTGCCTTAAAGTGCACTGGCTTCAGGTTTTCAGGCTTTTCACTGCAACCCTGAGGGCTAGAAACTTACTTTACAAAAAAAAGGGTGGGGGAGGAAAGCTGAGATTTTTCACTTAATCACATGCCTCCAGGAGCTGGGGCTTTAAGAAAAAACACCAATCGTTAGGAGACTTGTGATAAAGTCACAAGAGTTGGCAACACCGTGATCGCTTTTCTTTCTCTCTCACTTTAGTGAAAGGTATTTTATCCTTTCTAATAATTACCAGAAATATTTTTTCCCCTTTGCCTTAATTATTTCAGTGCAGAAAACACCTCATCATCTTTCCTGTCATTGATACCAGAGACATTCCTCTCTGGGTTTGCTTTGTGTCTCTTACTTCCCACTTCTACAGCTGATTCTATAGCTACCTCTAGTCTAGACACAGATTTCTGCAGGTATAGCTGTGTTGATTAAGGGGGTGGATGATCCCTAACTGACCACAGCTGTGCTTGCACAAGTCCCTAGTATAGATTACCAGTTCAGCTTCTTTCACATCTTGTAGGTGGTTTTAATGTACCATACAGAGTGCAGCTTTGCCAGTTTAGCTCTGTCCCGTACACTAGGGGTACATCTACACTGCAGTCACAGGGTGTCTGCATACCCGAGTTAGCTTTAATCTAGCTAGTTCAGGTACTGGAGCAGTGAAGCGGCAGCACACACCATGGGCTACACAAGCCCACCCAGAACCCTGGGTAATTACTTGGCTGGCTAGCCAATGCTGAAGCCATGTTGCTGCTACTGGTACCCAAGCTAGCTAAAGCTAATCGGGTAAAGAATGCCAGTGAAGCCAAACAGCAAAAATTAAGATGTTTGTACACTAATGCGAGGAGCCTAGGTAATAAAATGGAGGAACTAGAGCTACTGGTGCAGGAAGTGAAACCAGATATTATAGGGATAACAGAAATGTGGTGGAATAGTAGTCATGACTGGAGTACAGATATTGAAGGGTATGTGCTGTTTAGGAAAGACAGAAATAAAGGCAAAGGTGGTGGAGTAGCATTGTATATCAATGATGAGGTAGACTGTAGGGAAATAAGAAGCGATGGAATTGATTAGACAGAGTCTGTCTGGGCAAAAATCACATTGGGAAAGAAAGCTACTAGGGCCTCCCCTGAGATAGTGCTTGGGGTGTGCTACAGACTGCCGGGATCCAATTTCGATATGGATAGAGACCTCTTTAATGTTTTTAATGAAGTAAACACTAATGAGAATTGTGTGATCATGGGAGACTTTAACTTCCCAGATATAGACTGGAGGACAAGTGCTAGTAATAATAATAGGGCTCAGATTTTCCTGGATGCAATAGCTGATGGATTCCTTCACCAAGTAGTTGAAGAACCAACAAGAGGGGATGCCATTTTAGATTTGGTTTTAGTGAGTAGTGAGGACCTTATAGAAGAAATGGTCGTAGGGGGACAACCTTGGTTCGAGTGATCATGTGCTAATTCAGTTCAAACTAGATGTAAGGATAAACAAAAATAGATCTGGGACTAAGGTTTTTGATTTCAAAAGGGCTAACTTGAAAGAATTTGGAAATTAGTTAGGGAAGTGGATTGGACTGAAGAACTTGCAGATCTAAAGGCAGAGGAGGCCTGGAAATACTTCAAGTCAAAGCTGCAGAAACTATCAGAAGCCTGCATCCCTAGAAAGGGGGGGGGAAATCATAGGCAAGAGTTGTAGACCAAGCTGGATGAGCAAACATCTCAGAGAGGTGATTAAGAAAAAGCAGAAAGCCTACAAGGAGTGGTAGATGGGAGGGATTAGCAAGGAAAGCTACCTTATTGAGGTCAGAACATGTAGGGATAAAGTGAGAAAGGCCAAAAGCCATGTAGAGTTGGACCTTGCAAAGGGAATTAAAACCAATAGTAAAAGGTTGTATACACATATACATAAGAAGAAAACTAAGAAAGAAGAAGTGGGACCGCTAAACACGGAGGATGGAGTGGAGGTTAAGGATAATCTAGGCATGGCCCAATATCTAAACAAATACTTTGCCTCAGTCTTTAATGAGGCTAATGAGGAGCTTAGGGATAATGGTAGGATGACAAATGGGAATGAGGAGATGGAGATAGATATTACCACATCCAAGGTAGAAGCCAAACTCAAACAGCTTAATGGGACTAAATCGGGGGGCCCAGATAATCTTCATCCAAGAATATTAAAGGAACTGGCACATGAAATTGCAAGCCCATTAGAAAGAATTTTTAATGAATCAGTAAACTCAGGGGTTGTACCGTATGACTGGAGAATTGCTAACATAGTTCCTATTTTTAAGAAAGGGAAAAAAGTGATCCAAGTAACTATAGGCCTGTTAGTTTGACATCTGTAGTATGCAAGGTCTTGGAAAAAATTTTGAAGGAGAAAGTAGTTGAGGTCAATGGTAATTGGGACAAAATACAACATGGTTTTACAAAAGGTAGATTGTGCCAAACCAACCTGATCTCTTTCTTTGAGAAGGTAACAGATTTTTTAGACAAAGGAAATGCAGTGGATCTAATTTACCTCAATTTCAGTAAGGCATTTGATATGGTTCCACATGGAGAATTATTAGCTAAATTGAAAAAGATGGGGATCAATATGAAAATTGAAAGGTGGATAAGGAATTGGTTAAAGGCGAGACTACAACGGGTCTTACTGAAAGGTGAACTGTCAGGCTGGAAGGAGGTTACTAGTGGAGTTCCTCAGAGATCGGTTTTGGGACCAATCTTATTTAATCTTTTTATTACTGACCTTGGCATAAAAAGTGGGAATGTGCTAATAAAGTTTGCAGATGACACAAAGCTGGGAGGTATTGCTAATACAGAGAAGGACCGGGATATCATACAGGAAGGTCTGGATGACCTTGTAAACTGGAGTATAATAGTAATAGGATGAAATTTAATAGTGAAAAGTGCAAGGTCATGCATTTAGGGATTAATAACAAGAATTTTGGTTATAAATTGAGGAC